TATATATATAAAAGATGCTTTCTGAATATATGTTAATAAAGGAAAATTATGCTATAACATTATTTAGAAAATAAAATATCATTACATATATAATAATAATTATATCTATATAAAATAAAACTTACCAAAACATAACTCTTTGTATAGAAAAAAAATCTGTATAAAAATACTCCCAGTAGCTTCTTAGATTAATAGATGGTGGTCATCAGTTTCTTCCCTCCCTGTATGTGCATGCTGCTCCATCCATCCAGAGGGGGGATCCATTTCCCCTCACTTTGACTTTGTGAGCCAGTGCCACTCAAATTAGATTAAAGATTGGTGAGGCATTTCAGGAGAGCACATGTGGCCACATGGAGGTAGCAGAAATTCAAGTGAAGCCTTCTTGAACCCTCCAGCACCTTCTAATATGGGAAGCTCTACTAATAAATCAGAAAAGTCAAACAGGTCTAAGGAGGAAGCAGAACAGCTAGGAGTCCACTGAACTGATCGAAGAAAGAAACACTGAAGCCTGCACTGATATCAGTACTACAGAGTGAGCAAGAACTGGGATTTCTTATTCCATCCGGGAAATGAGGGAAATCAGACTAAGGGAAAAATGCTCCAAAATATTTGTCCTGTATGACAGGTCAATTAGATAGAAGACACAGGAAGAGAAATAAGTTTGTGTACGTTAAGAGGATAGGGAAGTGGAATCAGTGATTAGATTGATGATTTCTTTGTCCATGAATTACTGTAGCCTGTCTCAGCCCCTGGCATGTAGTACAAACCCAGTAAGTGTTCATTCAATGAATAAATGACAGTGTCTGGGGTTTAAGGCAAGGCATTTGGACAAGATTTGGAAAGAATCAATGTAGAGGTGATAGTTGAAATCAATGTAGAGGTGGGTGAAGTTGCTCTGGGAAAGGAACAGAATAAGAAGAAAGAAAGGCTGAAGGAATTCTAAAGAAATGCCTCACCTGTACATGACATTTTTAGCCAGCTCCACATCATCCCGGGTCTGACACAAATGAAGCAAAGTTCTCAACTCGTCCTTCAAGATGAGTTTGTTCTGGGTCAATTTCTCTTCCAAGTTTCTAAAATAGGTTTCTGGAAGAAAGCACAGGATGTGGCCATCACTCAGGCTAAGACTGTAAGGGGGTTGACCTCAGGGAAAAGGGGAAGCTCACTGCAAAGGGGCACTGAAAGGGGTTGCTGGGCATACAGCTCCCCTCACTGATTCCTCTAGAGCACCAAGTGTCATGTGTCCCTAAAGCAAACCTGTGACATAGGGTTACTGGCCCACGCCCCACTCAAAACTTTCTACAACAGAACTTCTACGAGTGGGAGTACACAGAAAGGCATTTTTGATTCCCTGGGAGATCCTCAGGTATGCCAACTTTTGAGAACAACTGTCCCAGAGTCTTACCCAAATAACCTAATCTACAGGAAGCTTACAAGAAGAAAACATAATCAGATACCCAAATCATCAATTAGCAGGGCACCAAACAGGAAAATGAAAATGTGATCTGAACATGGGTTTATCCATGATGTTGACTTCATGTTTCTTTTATCTGGCTCATTTTCACTTTTCTTTCATTCCTCTTGGTTTCTCTTTACTCAGTTCTTAGAAAGCATGCCACAGTACTATATAACTTTTTTAAAAATTCCACTAGTGAGCATTTAGTGACAGAAGCACTTCAAGGTCATCACAGTCTAGCTTTGTTCCCTATCTTTGTGTCTACTCAACTATAGGAACAAACACCAAAAGGAAGCACTGCTTCTTGGCATTAGGAAGGGGCTACATTATCACTAAATGTGCGGTGGGATGCAAGGCAGGAACCAAGCAAGCATCTGCTTTCCAGGGCTGTTCTCACATTGGAAGCTGCCAAGAAATATCTACAATTTGTTCCAAGGCCCAGAGCTTTGAAGGAATGCTGCTGGAAGTGGCACAATATATATTAAAATACAAAAACTAGAAGTTGATTTATAAGAAGACACACTTGGTTTGACATAATGCAAAGGATCTTCTAATCTATTTGTAGAGCCATACAGTGGTTAAAGGTTTTAGAGCCCAGAACCTGGGCTCTGCCATTTGCATGCTCTGGAGGAGACCTTTGTACAGAGACTATATTATTTGTGTATAAAGTGAGATCTCATGGGCTACATGGTATGTCTGAAAACACTTAACACCATATAATAGCTGCTAGTAAGTAGTAATATTACTGACCTCATTTTCACTCTGCCTCCTGTTAGATCTAAGAGGATTTAGTCTATTAAATATTTCTAAGCAATTTCCAATATGAAACATCTCAAAAGGATAGTTTTACATGTTGAACCTCCTAATCCCTCTTAACAAATCTTAAGAATCCACAATGTCAAAAGATGTATGTTGTATATTAAAAACAAATCAATCAGCATTTAATGGCTTATCATATATTTATATTCAGAGTCATCCTTTGAGAATGGTTCCTGCACTCAAAGAGCTTAAAGCCTATTCAGGAAGGCAAAATATATTTATACAAAGCTATCTGAAAACAATGATGGAAGAGGGACATGTGAAGGACTATAAACACAATAGGACAGAAGAGTCCTATCACGAGAGCTATAATGACTCAGTGTGGCAGGACAGACCAGATTTGGTGGAATTGGACAGATACCAGTAGGGACTGAGTAGAGCTGGAGAAACAAAGCAGGGGGTCATTCTGGGTACGGGAATCAGCAAGAGTAACAGCACAGAATTGGGGGTAAAAGCATTATGGGAAGAAGAGCAGTGACCAGATGAATAAGAAGCTACACTGGACACCAGAGAGGGTCAGGTCCATTATGGCAGGGATAGAAGCCGTCGGGTAAGGAGGCATATGATATGGTATACAACATAGTGCAGTTGTGGGTTCTCAAAATGGAAGAACTGCTGACAGGAGTTTAAAAATGCCAATTTGACAATGGAGTATGTTGGCACTAATTAGATTATCTTTCAGGACATGTGAACCACTGTCAGTTTTATAAGTCTATAACAATTGGAAACAACAACTAGATAATGATATGGGGCCCTGACTATAAACCTCAATAGGTCAAAAATACCTGGGGCAAAAAGAAGTCTAGATTATTCAGTATAATGAACTGGAGATAAACACATTATATCGCACTTTTTAAGTCTTATTTTTGTATTACATACAAAATTGGGTGGTGTTACATAGCAGTATCACTAGTGAAGCAGTGGGGGATGACTGATTTCTAAAGGAACAGCTGGGAAGGAATGAAAGCAAGAAGTGTTACTTGGGTGCTCACAATCATTTCCCAGTGAGAAGGAGAGCTGGGATTATAGCTGGAAAAGTCAATAGAGACAAATTAGAGTTATTACAAAAGAGGAATGTCTTGGAAATATTCATAAAGGAGTTTGAAGTACCAGGATAAACTCTCTGTTGGAGGGAAGAACAAAATTTCTCAAATGTTGAAAGGAAATAAACCTAAGATAGTGGTATTCTTGTGTTTTTAGCTTTTGTTACCAGCAATTGAACTCAGTGCTTAACCACTGAGTCACATTCCCAGCCCTTTCTTTTTATTTTATTTAGAAACAGGTCTCACTGAGTTGCTTAGTGCCTCACTATTGCTGAGGCTGGCTTTGAACTCAGAATTGTCCTGCTTCATCCTCCCAAACTGCTGGGATTACAGGCATGTGCCACCACGCCCAGCATGTTTTTAGCTTTTTAATAAAAAAATTTTAAGCTCACCCAAAAGTAGAGAAAAATTACCATCATCCAACCTCAACAATTATCAATATGCTACAAATTTTTTCCCTCTACACTGCCCCCAAACACACTGGACTTTTAAAACTCCAGGTTTTATACAAATTCCTCCTGTTCTTTAAAAAACCCTTGATCCTACTGACTTAAAAAATATCAAAATGAGCTAGACTCAATGAATGGTGCATACCTGTAAACCCAGTAACCTGGAAGGCTGAGGCAGGAGGATCACAAGTTCAAGGCCAGCCTCAGCAAACTGGCAAGGCCCTAAGCAACTTAGTGAGACCCCGTCTCAAAATAAAAAGTAAAAAGGGTTGGGGATGTGGCTCAGTGGTTAAGCATCCCTGATTTCAATTCCCAGTATCAAATAGCACTGTTTTATTTCATTCACATGTCTATGTGATTAAATATATTTTTCACTGAAAGCTACATAAAAGTTTGACAGCCGGTCATCTGGAGTTCTTATATATATATGTGTATATGCATGTGGCGCCTTTCTATTTGCATCTCTTCTTGGATTCTGGGACAAGAGATAAGAGGAAAGCCGTAGACTTTGTAGTAGTAGAGTGTGAAATGAAAGGTGAATCTAAGGGTAGTCTAGGAAGCTAAGAAGAAATGTTATCAACTTTTTCTATGAGATTGAAGGTCATCAAAGCAAAGAATGAATAGAGACAAAGAGGAAACTGAAATGACAGATAAAAGAATTAACAAAATAAATTCTATTTACCTTTGGTGTCAGGAAGATTATATGCAATAGCCAACTTCTTATGTTGAAATTCTTTTAATTTCATGATATTATCTGTAAGTAGATACCTTTTAGCTAAAAAATTAGGGAGAAAAAAGTTACATCATTTTTACTGCTTTACACTTAGCAAATAACATAAGTAGAGTCTGATCTAATGATCTGATCTTATTGTTATCTATTATAATACGACATAAACTTGGTAGGGAAAAATATCTCGAAACAACCAGCAAACGACAGTACTCAGTAAAATAAATTTTGTGTGTGAAAGGAGCTAGTTATTAACTGTGTATGAGGACTGGTTGACAGGAAGCTGAGATTTGAAGGACAAAATAGTTGTTTGCCATGTGGTTTAAGGGTAACAGACATTTTTTTTTAAGCTGTCATTTAAATGTAAAACAAGCATATTGTGTTTTGTTTATCTGGGAGCATATAGTAGAGTGGAAAAAGCTATTATACAACCACTGAAACTTCTAGTTTTGTCCTTTGTGAAATAAAAGGATTATGGCCTTTCAGATCTGGACTCTATCCTCAAGATAAATCATCATAACAGCTTAATAATCTGAGAAATATCCATACTTTGGAATTCTCGGCTGTGCATGATATAAAATGGATGAAGAATGGCAAAGTACCCAATAAAAGAATTCTGTGTACTGCTAATATTTATGAAAAGGCAGTCCATGGCATGATTGGGAGGTCTCCACTGTTAACCTAGTTCAAATCTTGCCTCTACCAGTTCCCTGTGACCTTGGGCAAATGACTTTAACATTGTAGTGTTCCCTCCTCTGTAAACAGAGGTTTTCTCCCACTCTGAGGAGGTAAACCTCTCCCATTGGGTGTTTGGAGGAAAGGAGTTATTACATGTAAAATGCATTAGAAAAAGTGCTAAGTATATTTATCATCACTCACTAGCATTCTCAGGTTTAATCATTGGTAAGGTGGTAAGGATAGTCTTGAGAACGAGGAAACCCTTTCAAGGTCTTTTTATTTGTAGCAGCAGAGCTCAGAGTCCAAACTAAGATCTTCCCTCCTAAACCCTGCCCAAAGGGTGAGGAGTGTCCCGGGAGAGCAAGTCGCCCCCTGCAGTCCTCCTTCCGTTTCCACGCACTGGGGGCTTTCACGACCCTCAGGGGTCACTGTCATACCCACGTGCGACTGGAGGGCAAGGGCGCGCTCCCAGACCGATGAGCGATTCTCCAACGAGAAGCCTGCCAAGGCTTAACACTCCCTTCCTTTCCATCCCCTCCCCTCCTTCCAAGGCCTGATGCCGCGGATACCTCCGAGTGGGCACCGGCAGCAGTTGGAGCCTGCGGCTTCCACCCCGGGATAAAAAGAAGTCCGTGTCGTTTGCTGCAGAGCTCGTTCCAAGGACCGAAATGCAGCCATATTGTCCCGGGCCGCACCACCTGTGAGAGCTGGGGGCGGGGGACGGATCGCCAGAAAGCTCAGAACGGGATTCATCCAATCTCTGAGCCCACAGGGAGGACTGTGTCCCGCCCCTTCCCTGCCTACGGCCCCCGGCCGGCCCTCCTCATGGTACGCTCCAAGATGGCGGCCCCCATGGTGCGGCGCTGGCTGCTTCTGGCTCGGAAAGTTCCTCTGCCTCACCTCTCCCCTGCAGGTTGGTGACTGCTGCCCTGGTGGGGCTTCTTCATTAGGCCCCTGATTATTCCATTCCTTGAATGAAAGAAGCGACAAGCTTTCCAGAAGAGGGCAAATGCTTTGGGGAGCTGGTTGCTAGAGAAGCCATTCGGGGTGTGTGTTAGCGCAGAAAGGAGAGGTAGTCTCTGACCCATCTCCTTCCTTAAAATAGTAGTATCTGCCAGGTCAAAGGTGTGAGAAGCAGAGGAACGTTATGGCATGAGAGATTTTGCGTATGATTGTCAGATTTGTGTGTTAGGGTGGTCGTCTTTTTGCCCACCGTGAAAAGGTGTAATACGTCCACCCCCCTGATCGGTTTTGAAATTTTGGTCCTTGAAAGTGTTTCAAAATTAAATGGAGAAAACATTTCTTTTTTGTAGTGGATAGTTATTTTAGAGACTATTATTGCCCAAGCAATATTATCTGAGAGTAAGCAGGTTCAAGACAGTTTTCTCCCACTGAGGTTTCCCAGGAGAGGCATCAGGTAAATGTTTTCCTTACCATCTCGCCTTTCCAGACCCCTGGTCTTCACTTTGCATAAGATTTTTGCAGTATTTATCTCACTTTAACCTAATGACCCTTGGACACAATTCTTGAACCTTTCTTTGCTATAGTTTTCTAGGTGCAGATAACAAATGCTAACAATTATTTGTAAAATACTTTGAATCTGATGAGGAAAACTGGGGGAAAGTTTTTAAGGATTTACAGAAGTCAAGTTTACAATGATTTCAACCAAATAATCTTGATAGATGTGCATGATTACTTGATTAAAATGCAATAATCATACTTAGTGTTTCCAGAGGCTTTTATCTTCTTTTCAACCAATTCCCTTAGCCCCTATTAAAAAAGAGGAAACATTTTAGCGCACTCTGGCTCACTCTTAAGGAACAACCATTAAATATCAACACAATTTAATGCCATACATTTGGCAAAATTGGTATGCATAAGTATTAGCCATTCTAACAAAGAAATGGAAATTAGGGTGAATTGAGAGACTTTCCAGATGGCATTTTGGATTTAGTGTAAACTGTTGAGCTTCTGGCAAGTTATACTTGTGCTATTCCAACATGGTAGTTATTAGCATGGGTCGCTATTTAAATTTGAAATAAACATAAATAGAATGAAAATTTCAGTTGTATCCTGCGTGACACTACTTGTTATTTTAAGTGCTCAGAGAACGGATGTGGCTCTTGGCTACTATTTTGGATAACTTAGAATTGAACCTTTTCATCATTGAGAAAGTTATATTGAACAAGCACTGGGTTGGACATAGATGAAAGTAGTCTCGAAGTCAAGAACTGAAAGCTATAAGGGAGGTGATATAATAGAGTAGTTCAACACAGACCACTTGGAATTTGGAAATTCTGATAAGGAGCTAGATTTATGGCAAAATTGAAGCATTTGCTCCATTACAGAAGAAGAGAGGAAAAATATTTTGAACAAATTCATGACACAGATTTGCAACACTGACACTTCTATCTGTTTTTCTTACAATCATATGGAGGAGTACAACTAAAATGATCAAGAGAATGAAAAGAAATTTAACTGACATGAAACCCAAAAAGAAAATGACATTTATCAAGAGCCTAGAGGAAAGAAACCTACTGGGCATCATTACATAGTTGACATTAAAACATTAATAATGCACTCAAACTACTGAGAGAGGCATTGTTTTCCCACCCTGCATAGAAAGAGGGAAAGAGGCTCAGAGATAACATGTACTTTGCCCAGTTTTTCATAGCATTTATTATTAACAAGGCAAGGATTTAGAGTTACCTTTGACTCTAAGGCTCATCTGTTCCCATAATCACACTACTTCCCACTAAATAGGGAGAAATGTTTGGAGACATTTGATTATTTTTGGAGCCAGTCAGTTTTCATCAAACTTTGACATTTTGGTCCTTGAAAGTGTTTCAGAATTAAATGGAGAAAACATTTCTTTTAGTAGTGGTGAGACTATTATTGTCCAAGCAATATTATCTGAAGGTAAGCAGGTTTAAGAAAACTTTGTATATACTTTTAGATGGTATATTCAGAGTAGGATTGAATAGGTTTACAAACCTAGAACTATAAGGCTGGTATCTGTCCCTTTGCTAATTCAACTGTGATCTGAGGAATACCTTCATCATCATTACCTAGGAACTTATTTAGAAATGTGGAATCTGTTCCTGCTCTGAACCTGCATTTTAACAAAAATTGATATGCATACTAAGATTTGAGAATCTGATCTAGATAGTCCACTTGGCTGTTGTCCACTCTGATCAATGTTCTTTCCCTGATTTTGTAGAAATGCTTTGGTTGTAACATTAATATATAGACCTTCAATTCATGCACAGAAATGGAAAGAATTACAAATGCTGTCATTTACAAAGTATTTCAGAAAGATGAAAATCTTGCTTTTAAAATCTTAACAGAAAATGTGTTCTATTGCTTCTGTAGCAAATTAACACAAATTTGGTGGCTTAAAATAGCACAGATTTATCTTAGTATTCTTTGGGTCAACTGTCTGACCTGGGGTCTTATCATACTAAAATTAGGAGATTGGACTGGATATGTTCCCTTTTGGAGTCTTTAGGGGAGAATCTTTTTCTTTGCTTTTTCCATATTCTAGAGACCTTTTCATCATTGAGAAAGTTATATTGAACAAGACCACTCACATTCCTTGGGTTACAATCCTCTTTCTACATTTTCAACGTGAGCAATGGCCAATCATTGTAAGGTCCTCACTTAACCATCCTTCACATATCACATTTACCAACAGACTCTTGTGATTACATTGAGCCTATCTGTATAATCTAGGACACTCTCCTATCTGATTAGCAATCTTAATTCCCCTCTACCATGTAACATATTTATAGGTTCTAGTAATGGGGCATGGACATCTTTGAGGGCTATTCTGCCAACCATACTTGGTAACTTATTCCCATGTTTGTCATTGGTTTGTATAGAGCAACTATAGAAATTGTCTATTTGCCAAAATTAAGTTCTTTATCCTTGTATTCATTTCTTTTTGAAATATTTGAAATCAGCCTCTACAATTTAGTGAGATCCTGTCTCAAAATAAAAAAAAAAAAAAAAGTTGGGGGAGGGTGTGTGTGCAGGGAATGTAGCTTAGTGGTACAGTGTCCCGGGCTTAATCCTTAGTCTCTCTCTCTCTCTCTCTCTCTCTCTCTCTCTCTCTCTCTCACACACACACACACACACACACACACACACACACAAACATACAAAAACATATAAACATACACACATACCTTGGGGGGAGCCTGGGTTTATCTTTTGTAAAGTTATTAGTCCTAATTCATTTTTGTTCTAGTTTGTTCATTTCTCTTGAACAATTGCACACAGAGGGTGTTCTGGCAGTTCTCAAGTCTTCTTTCCATTACCTCTCCAGCTTTGTATTTCCCAATACAGAAAACACTTGAGCAGTGGTCTAAATAATTGTCTTTTCTGTCTCCAGAAAAGGAGCCTTCCATAGAAGGGTGGTTTCTTATGCTAGAATGAAGATGTAGAGAACAAATAAGAGATAATAATAATAAAAGTAAAGGGTAAACTACTGGTATCTTGAGTAAGTAGCTTAACAGCTCCCTCAGTTCATGTTCACATAGAGAAGGGCTGCCATTGTTCCCCACAGAATTGAGAGAGCCCTTACTGGTTTTAGAAATTGGCATTCAGTTTACATAAAAATGCTGTTATAAGTAATAAATGAATATCTGAAATGATGCTTTTGGTTCTGTGTCATGACTGTTAGAGCATATAGTGACCTTAGGTATCACCTAGTCTTGCTTGATTTGCAATGATAGAATCTGAAATTTTCTAATAGCTGGTAAAACTCAAACTAGAACTCAGATCTCCTTTCTCCTTAATTGGTGTACAACTCTACACCTAACATAATGCAAACAGCTTTTAATCATCCTTCTTAGGATGATTCCTAAATTTAGGAATATAACTAATAATTTATAATATTGTTTATGAGACGTGACTCAAAGTTATAAATATCTAATACTTTCATAAAATCCATTTGAAATGTGATCACTTAAATAGTTGTTATTTTTTTTAGAATGTCTTTGTGCCCCTTTTGAAACAGTCTTAAGAAACTTTTTCTTACTGTATATATCATTGTTTAAGTTTTAGGACTCAAATTTAGATATTCTAATAAAGATCTGATCTTTGCTTTAGATAAGAGAAGTATTGGATTGTGTACACATGGATGGATCTGGTTATTTTAGTTGGAGGATGGATAGAGAATATCTATTATTATGTTTAATTGGCCCATCCCATCTAGTTAACGTTTGGCTTATTGTCTGCTATGACCTACAGGTAATCATCAGCCATTCGTTCTATTTTGTTTTTCCTTTTTAAAAATAGGTTATTAAGATATAATACATATGATATACAACTCATCCATTTGAACTATAAAATTCAATGGTTTTTAATATATGCACACAGTTGTGCAGCCATTACAATCAATTTTAGGACAATTTTTATCATCTCAGAAAGAAATCCCATGTTCATTATCAGCCATTTTTCATTTTCCTCCCATGATTTCCCAGTCTCCACTCCCAGCCTTCTACAACCAATAATCTATTTTCTATCTCTATAGTTTTGTCCATTTGGGGATTTCATAAAAATTGAATTATCATATGTGGTTTTTTGAGGCTGACATCTTTTTTACTTAGCATAATGTTTTGGAGGTCGTTCATTTCTAATTGCCAAATATTCCATTGTAAAGATATACCACATTTTTATGTTCATTTATTAACTGATGGATATTTCGGCTGTTTCCCATTTGTTGTCCATTATTCATGTACTGCTTATATGTACAAATTTTGTGTAGACCCAAGTGTTCATTTTTCTTCGTTATATCTACCTGGGAGTGGAAGTGATAGGTCATATGGTAACTCCATGTTAACAGTTTGAGGAACTGCCAAACTGTTTTCCAAAGCAGCTCCTCTACTTTACATTCTCACTGGCAATATATGAGGTTCTAGTTTCTCTGCATCTTCATGAGTATCAAAAAGCCATCATTGTCTGCTGTTTGATTATAGTCATCATTCTCCATGTGAAATGGCATCTCCAGGTGGTTTGGGTTGGTATTTCCCTACTGGCAAATGATGTTAAGCATCTTTCCATGTGTTTATTAGCTATTTATATGTGCATATTTATTTGTGCACACACATTCAGCCCTCCAGACTCACAGGTTCTGCATCTGTGGATTCAACCAACTGCAAATTGAAAATATGTTTTAGAATTTTCATCTGCACTAAACATGTAATTGTTCTTTTTTTCTTGTCATTATTCCTGAAATAATATAGTAAAACAACTATTTATATAGCATTTACATTGAATTAAGTATAATAAGTAATTTAGAGCTGATTTAACGTATATGGGGCAGGAGTATACCTAGGTTATATGCAAATTCTTAGCCATTTTGTCCCAAAGATTTGAGCATTGAAGAATTTTTATATCCACAGGGGATCTTGGAATTAATCCTCCAAAGACATCCAGGGATGACTCTGTATACATTTTATGGGGTTGTTTTATTTTTGAGCATGTCTATTTAAATCCTTTGCCAATCTTTCAGTTGACTTTGTCTTGTTTTGTTTTGAGTTGTAAGAGCTATTATATATTCTGGGTATAAGTCCCTTGTCAGATAAATGATTTGTAAATATTTTTTCCCATTCTTTGGATTTTTCTTTCACTTTCTTGAAACTGTCCATTGAAACACAAAAGTTTTTAATTTTGATGAAACCACCATTCATTCTTTCTCATTCATTCCTTAAGCTCATGTTTATTGAGCAATGCCAGGCATTGTGCCAGGTACTGGAAATACAACTATGCCATCTTGTGTGTTTCCTTAAATTTGGCTTTTTGAGTTTCTCTTATTTATCACGAGGGTGCTGGGTCACTTATGCAAAATTTGGGTAAATTTGCTAATCCAAGTCGGAAATATTTTCAAGACTAATAATTTAGGAATTAAACACAGTTCAGCAGTGTTTTGAATTCAAAAGGAGTTCTAGGGCTCACCTGGGCCATAATTTTTAATGATAAGAAGTTTTCCTTGCCCTGTCAACATTTTGATCCATAAGATTATTGTAGATGATTTCAATTTTTCTGCATCTTTACTTGTTAGAAGATGAATGCATTTTGTAAACTGCAGTAGTTGTTTTTTTTAAAGTTAATATTAAAATATATGACCTAGTGTTTGAAGATATGGCAAAGATAGTGTTTCATAGTATGGCTATATTAGATGAAATCATTGAGAAACCATACCTGTTGAGATCATTGCCTTTATTTCCTCAGGAAAAAGATGTCTGCTTTCTGCAGCATATGTGGACAGCCACAAATGGGAAGCAAGACAAAAAGAACATTGTCACCTCGGTAAGTACCTACCTTGTGGCTGTTCTGCGTGTCATCTGCAGTCACTCCACATGTCTACCTTCATTTACTCATTTGATGTGTATATGAAATGATGCTTTATGATGCATATTTTAAGTCCTAAAAGACCTGTACATTTCTAATATTTCATGTTTGCCTGATGATTAGTCTCCTGAAGTGATAAAATGATTATTTTCTTTCCAACTTGTTCATTTTTATCATGCAGTTTTTATGCAGCCTGTCTCTATTTTATAGAATTTCACATTTCTTCCCTTTTTATTTTCAGTCTCTTCATTTTTCTTAACTCTTCTTATGGTCTTCAGAGCTGTTTTTGACTCTTTTTGTTACCAGGTAACAGGTTTAAAAACAAAGTTGGAATCATTTAGGGAAGATCATTGACCAACATCTTCTCAGAAAATAAGTTCCTAATTATACTTCCCTTGTTTCCTGTGAAATATTGTACAGAAAGCAACCTTTCTTGTATAAAATGCCAAAGCCTAAAAGAGATCACTGACTGTGTGGACATTTTAAAAATGTTCACACTTGAGCCTTTTGGTTCTGCTTGTCCTTTGGTACATATAACATCATCAAGACATTGGCAAAATCAATAGATGGATCATAATTTTATAAGACTGATGTAATTTTTTAATCAGTTCCAGTGCTGATCTAATATTTTCTCTCAGACTTCTTCCACTATTTGGGGGGAGTTATGTCAGATAAGAATAAAGTCTTCTTTTGTTTATGGATTTTTCCCATTAAGTGTGGGGGACACAGGTGTCAGTATTGATGACCTTATTGGGTGTTCCAAAATAATTTTATTCCTTGATGATGTGATTGCACAAGCAGAGTTAGACGTGAGCCCTGGAATGGGTGTATGGGGATGGGTTAGCCAAAGCAGAACTAGAAAGATCTGAGGATAAGTAATCCTAACCTCTCCTCAAGGAACTTACAGTCCGGTTCTGGCTGTAAGAGACCCAGCATAGCCTTTTTTATAACAAGTACTTTTTCTCTGGGGGAGTACTGGGGCTTGAACTCAGGGGTACTTGACCACTGAGCCACATCCCTAGCCCTATTTTGTATTTTATTTAGAGACAGGGTCTCACTGAGTTGCTTAGAATCTCTCTTTTGCTGAGGCTGTCTTTAAACTCACCATTCTCCTGCCTCAGCCTCCCAGGCTGCTGGGTTTACAGGCGTGCACCACCAAGCCCAGCATAACAAGCACTTTTAATACTCCTCTTTTATTATCTTGAAGTTAAGTTAAAAGATAATATAATCTACCTATTAATAATATTCTTAAAATCTATATCATTACTATGATCCAAAGAAGAAATAAAAGGGAAGTAACTTGCAACAAATGATGTGTATTTCAAAATATAAATAAATGCCTAGGCAAAACTACACTAAAAAGACAATGAAGTAGCTACATACCTGCACTTAAATGTAGAGTCACTGTGAACAATGATAGACAGAAACAGATGGGTACAAATGTGGTATGCTGGAGAATTCAAATACCAGGGTGGCATTATCATAATGACATAATTTTATTTACAAAATGAGTAACTTCAAAGGTCTGTCCTCATACAATTTATGTTGAAGTTGCATTTATAGAAAATATAACTTATTTTCAATAATGAAAAAAAAGCATTTTGTGCTTCTATGTAAAATGAAATTGGTTCTGTTAATTATAAACAGATTTTTTTTTCAGTAGTTATGACTACCTGCCTTACCACAGACATCATGGTATGTGGGGCAAAATTTTTTAATCTTTTATTTGGAAAAATTTCGAACTTAAAAATAATTGCAAAGAGCTCCTCTCTACCTTTTACCACCTTCACCTGTTACCACTTTGATCCATTTGCTTTTGCTTTCTCACTCTGTAGACATATAACACACATTTTTAAAATAATTTGAGAGTTTGTTTCATACATTACAGCCCTTTAGCCTGAATACTTTAGCATACATCATCTGACATAAGGATGTTGTTATATACCATAGCACTGTTATCAACTTCAGTAATTTTAATATTAATATAATAATTTAACCTTTTTTATATCACTATTTTGTTAATTGACCTCAAAATGTTCTTTATCATATTTTTCCATATTATCATAGGATCCATTATAGGTTTACATTGCATTACATTGTCAAATTTTTTTAGTCTTTAAGCTGAAATGGTTTCATATCCTTTCTTTGTTTCTGATGACATTGTCATTTTTGTAAAATTCTCATTTCTTCTTTAAATAACATATTCTCTTTTGGGGTTTCTCTGTGCTTTACTCATTAGATTCCAGTTATGTTTCTTCATCCAGAATACTCTTAGTGATGTATCTCTATCAGAGCATCACATCTGGACACACCAGATATCCTAATGCCTTTACTAGGCTATGTTAACTTTAATCACTTAGTGAAGTGTCTGATTTTTTTCCACTGTAAAGTTAACTATCAGTGAGGAGCAAACATCCTGCTGCTTATCAAGTTTCCCCTTACATTTGGCATCCGTTTATGCTTCTGCCCTGGATCAGTCTATACTACAATGGTTGCAAAGTGATGATTTTCCAAATCCATCAGTTCCTTCATACTTACTTGTTAGCACTTGGTATTCTACTATAAGCAATATTCTTTCCTTCCTTCCTTCTGTCCCATTTCTTTCTCATTAATTAGTGGGATTTTTAAAAAATGATTATTGCCATCCTTAATTATTTTGGTGGTCCAGTTGTCCCAGAATTGGCCAATAAAAGTTTTAAGTCCTCTCAAGCTGGCTTCTGTATTCTCTTTTTATCTCTCAAAATTTCTTTCTCATTTAACAAGATGTTCCAGGTTCATCTTGTACCTTTCCTGCCCTAGGCCTGGACTCAACCTTTTGTTTGAGGAACTCTGGTTCCTTTTGGTGAGGAACGGCATTAGAAACCAGGATTTAATGTAATTTTTTACTTCTCATCCAAAGTAGTGGACAGGGATTGGAAAATATGGATGCATACACACATAAACCTGCCTGTGTGCACATCTGTATCTATATACATGCATGTATTTATATACATACATGTATTCTGTATCTACATACATACATGTATCTGTGCAGATACACATACATATATATATATTTTTAGAAACAGAGCTTGTGCCAGTACCATTTCATCTCTGTATGATTTTTCCTTGCCTTGCTCTAGTCTAAATTTGTATCTCTTCTATACTGAGTCCTGGTTCCTACCAGAGACAATGTTCTGATGTGTGGCACAGTCACAGCAAGTCACCTGCTTTCCCTGTCTTCTGTCCAGAAATTGCCAGCAATTCCTTCCAATCATTGTGACAGTAAAAAAAAAAAAAAAAAAAAAAATACCCCCACTTATACTGAAGTGCCCTAAAGGGCCTATACTATTCTAGTGACAACACCAATATAGCTTTACATAATTATATAGCAAAGATTGTTCTGATGTGTCATATGAATTATAAGGAAAGTGCTATGAGTATATATGAGGGAATGACAAATACCAGGAAAGTTTTTTTTTTTGTTGTTTTGTTTTTTTGGTACCAAGAATTGAACCACTTAACCACTGAGCCACATCCCCAGCCTTTTTTTTTTTTTCAAACATTTTCCCAGGTTTAAAGGAAAGATTAGGAGACAAGGCCACTATATTTTGACATCTTGTTTGTTCTGTTATTTGGATACAAATCCAGGGGACTTTATTGCAGATACCTTAGTAAATAGAAGCTGTTTACCAAAGAATGAGCATAATCTGCAATGCATAAATATCACATGGAGGTGCATAAATATCACATGGAGGTAACTTTGTCTCCTCTCTGTTAAAACTAGTAAAGAGGTACAAGCTACCATATACTGAATACTTCTTGCCACTGTGGTAGTTGTTGGTCTGCCTAGAATACCCCCCTTTACACCCTAAATTCCTATCCAGTCAGAGCCTATTTTTCCTACTCTTAACAGTGCTTTGTCCCTTCCTTACCTAGTGTGATGTGAAGAGTTTGCACTTACTTATGAGGCAGACATCGCTCTGGCTTTGTAGCCCACTTCTGCAGCTTTCAGCTCTCACCCTCCATGTCTGAACCTCTAAATTTGGGATGATGGTAATTCCTGCTTGAGTGCCTGGCACATAGAAGATGCTCCAGAAGTACGTGGAATGAATGAGACCCCTTAGTTCCCTCGCTTTACCCCTAGATAAAATGTGTGAAGCAGTTTTGGAACTCAAGCTGCTTGGAAAAAAAAAAAAAAGAGACCTTTGGAGACAGTATTTTTTTTTTATCACTGTATAACAGAATGTAATTGTTATTACCTCTGTTAAAACAGACACGCTTTTCACTTATACGTGCCATTAGTACATGCTTCCCGCAACTTTTTATTTCCGTGTCTGGATGGGGGCTGTGAGCACTGCTGGTGTTGTGCCTGGGGGTGCATCCCTGCAAATTGGTCAGTAGATGGCAGTGTGGCGCCTTACGGGAAACCTGCATTGCTCATTGAGAGCCCAGCGTTGGACTCCGGGTGCACGCTAGATGAGAAACGTGCGCGAAAGCGCAGGGCCATGCGCGGCATGTGGAGCGCGGTGATTGGTCGCCGTAAGCCGAAGGGCCGTGAGGTGCTCTAGGCGGGCTCGCTGATTGGAGGAGTGAGGAGGGCCGATATGAGGCATTAGTTCCTGCAGTTCCTATTGGGAAGCATGTGTCCCTGAAGGCAGAGCGGGTGCCAGGGCGTGGTTCCCTCCACTGGGTGATTTTACCTCTGCTGTCCTTCCAAAAATTTTTCTTTTGCGGTGATTGCTATACTACCTGAGATTCTACAGTAGAGTCTTACTTTTGCATTAATGTGGAATTTGGTTTTTAAAAAATGCTTCTTTATTACAGTGTTCTATATGCATACTTAAATGTACACAAATCGTAACATATAGATTCTCACAAAGTGAGCAAACCTGTGTAAAAAAATAGAAGGTTCTTACCCCTCCAGAGGCCCTTATAGCCCCTGCTTTTCAAAGGTAACCATTGTCCTGACTTACGAC